AGGATTTCCCTTAAAAAAGTTCTTTTATTTCAAATCCCATAAAAAAATTTTTAATTCCATAAATAAATTTTTTATTGGATCCCCCATAGAAAACTTTGATTGAATTTTATGGAAAATCGTCTGTTGGAGATTTTCGATTATTTGTTCAAGTAACGGTGTGGCAATTTCCCCCGTGACATTGACGGGCCCTTTTTCGGGATCATTTCCCAAAACAAAATTTTTCTCGATTCGGGAAAAAAAAATAAACCGTAAATATTTTTTTTCTTTTACCCAAATTTTTTTGGGGTATCACCAGTCTACGGGGAAAAATATAAGCTTTTCCCTGAATTTTTGGATCTGTCGTTTATAAGCCGTTTTTTCAAAAATTTTGCCTAACCTTTAGTTGCTTGTATTTGAGCGGGCACAGTTTCAAACATTTTCCCCTTTTTTGGCGGTTTTTCTGGTCTACGCCATGATTTTAAAACGTCAGGTTTCATCAACGGGTACGGGAAAAAAAAACTCTACCCAAAAAATGTTAAATTTTTTTTTTATGAATAATAAATCTTACAATTTTTTTTCAATTTTTCAATTTTGGACCATTTTTAATCGAAAAAAAAGGGCACAGTTTTTTTAAACAATTTTTAGAATCCGTTTTCAAATGCGAAACAAAATGCCTAAACCCTTCTCTTTTTTACAATTTATTTTTTTTTTTTGATCTTTTAAAAAAAGAGATGTGGAAAAAATTTATTTTTCTTTAAAGCAATAACACTTTCCTTTTTTATGCATATTTCACGTAAAAACACGTAGATTAATAGTCCCGCCGGGAAAAAAATATTTTAAATTTTGTTTATTTTTGTAAAAAAGTAACTGACAAACACCCGACACCGTTTAATGTGACGAAAGGTTTTTTGTCCTCAAAAAGAAAAGACCCTTTTTAAAAAGGGATATTTTTTCTGGAATTGTTGGGAAAAATAAATTTCTATTTGTTTTAAAAAAAAAATCACAATTTTTAAAAATTGGAAAATTTGGCCCCTGTAAAAACTGATAGTATTTTTACTTTTTTGCATTACATGAAAAACCCCCCCCCCATTTTTTTCAAAAAGGGCCCAAAAAAGCCATGAATAAGACCGGGGATGGACGCCATGTGGGGTAAACAAAATAGAAAAAAGTAAAATAAAAAGATAAATGATTTTTTCAAAAAAAACAGCCCTCGATCACAGTCAAAATTTTTTGAAAAAGACGGGAAAAAAATGATTATAAAATTTATAAAAATTTACCCTTACACTGTAAAAGCAACATCGGCAAGATCTATGAAGGGGTATATTCCCCCGATGCTCCATTGAATAATTTTAGCTAACATAAGTTAGTTTAAAAATTACGATTACATTTGAGAAAATAATTCAATTTTTTATCCTTCAACTGTCAAATCACCTTTCTTTTTTATTTTCATATCAGATAAAATTCCCCTTATTAAAGTATATGGTTTTCATGGGTTTTTGATTTTTAAAGTTTTGGTTTCCCTTTTTTTAAAACTTAAAATGCTTCAAAAAACCTGTTGAGGACATCTGCAGGTCATGCCCCGTTTCAATAACCATTTCATTTACAGGGCCCAATTTAACCCCCATCGATAAAAAATTTGTCCCAAAAAGCCCTAAAGTTTTTAATTTTGTTGAAAGAACTTATTGTTAAAAAGTTTTTAAATCGATTTAAATGTTTTAAAACCCTAAATATTTCCCTTTTTTCCTTCCCTTTTCAATTTATTTTTTGGGGACTCTCTGATAAATAGGACCTGAATTTAATTTTAAATTTTTAATTTTAATAAAAACTAAATTTGTTTTGATATGCATTTATTTTAACAGAAAAAAAATTTAAATTTTCAATTAAAAAAATAGATAGTTTTTTTAAAAGGGTTTCTTAAAATTAACGAAATTTTTTCCATTCAAAAACGGTTACCGTGGGTATAAAAAAGGATGTAAAAATATTTTTTTCAACGATTTCCACGGTTTTAAAAAAGGGGAATTAACATACTAAAATTGGGTACAAAGGGTTTTTTTAATATATATATTGGTTTTTTACTATAAATAGCTCTTTAGAAAAGAAAAACCCTTTACTTTAAAATTGCCGCTTGAAGCCCTAACCTTTTTACAGCAAAACAAATCGAAGTGATTTCCCAAAGTGCCTTTTAATGGACAGGCTAGCTAAGTCAAAATTCCCACCTGAAAATTTTTTAATTTTGCCGTTTTGGGGGGATATTTAAGGGTTTTGTTTTTTATTCCCCCGTTTAGATTGGGTACATGACACCCAAATAGATTTTTTTAAATTACCGTAAGGGAAAAATGGGTTGAAAAGCCAAAACAAAATTTTTTTACAAATACAGACAACAATTTTACGATTTTTAAAAAATCTTTTAAAAGCGAAAGCGAGAAAAAAATCTTTTTTAAAAAATTCTTTTGGTTTATGTAAATCGTATAAAAAAAAAAATTTTTTTCAGGGTTAAAAATTTTTTAAATTTAAAAGGGAAAAGAACGGTAGGCATTTTTCCCTTCGAAATTTGGGAAAGGGAAATTTCAAATCTGTTTTAAAAACTGTGCCCTTTTTTTTCGACTTGAACGGGTTTGCCAAAAATTAAAATTTAAGAAAAATTAAGATTTATGTCTTTTCATAAAAAAAAATATAAAACATTTTGGGTGATTTTTGCCTTCCGTCCCCCGGGTTTTGATTTTTAAACCCTGACTTTTTTAATAAAGGGCTTTAGCCCCAAAATAACGCCAAAAAACGAAATAGCTTGCAACTGTTTCCCCGCTCTAATACAAGAAAATTTCCCAAAGGGTTTATGCAAAGTTTTGAAAAAAAAACGGCTTATAAATGACAAAAGATTAAATATTCTATGGAAATTTAATTTTTTTCCCCCGAAAGATTTGGTGCATCCCCCCAAAAAAATTTTAAGGAAAAAATAAAAATTTTACGGCTATTTTTTTTTTTCCGAATCGAGAAACATTTGTTTGGGAAAAATTGATGCCGAAAATGACGTAAATGTCACCCGTGGTTTTTGCCACACTGAGTAACCCTTTAAATTTTTCTATTACAATCTGGTCTTTAAACTGAGGGTTTTAAACTTATCTATATTTGCATAAATCTATATTTCCATATAAAATGAAACGACAGTTTTCCCCTTTTAAACCCTCACTTTTTACGAAGACTATTTACCATCATTTTAATGATAAATTTTTGTAATTTTTTAACAAAATTAGGAGAGGGCCCAAATTTTTTTTATTCTTTAAAGAACAAATCGGGTTTTCAGGACTTTCGGGGAACTTAAAAATTCTACATTTTTGTGCGCTCTTTTTTTATACTATAAAGCATTGGAATAGACGAGCACGCTTTTGGCCCCCACATTGTTTTTAAATTTTTTGATCCTGACTTAAAATTTTGGGGGCTGGTAATGCACTAAAAAACCTTTTGTTTTGATATGTGAATCAAAAAGTTTTGTGCCCAGAAAAAGTGAAGTCTTGTCTTAAAATTAAATTTTTTTACTACACTTTCATTTAATATGAAAACAAAATTGAGGTGAAAATTTAAATTTGAAAGGGTTTTTTGAAAAAAATAAAACAAGTAAAACTAAAAACGTAACACAGCTTATTTTTATAAAATACATATATGTGTACATTGATATGTATGAAAAAAATAACATTCCCATAAAGCTAATAAACTGGGGGGCTAATAACAGAAAGCTAAAAATACAGCTCGCCTCGGGAAATTTTTTGGTTTTTGAAAATTATTTTTCTGTCAAACGTTTGGGAAAAATTTATGGATTCGACTTTTTTTTTTAACGTATTAAGATTGATTTTCTGTAGTTAAAATTTTCAACTTTCCCCCAATTTTGGACAAAGATCAAACCCCAATTTTCACAGGGGAGGCATGAAATTTTTTTTTTTTAAATATATTTTAATATATTTTTATATATATATATTTTGGAGACTAAAAAAATGTAAAAATACTGAAAATTGTACCCTTAAATTAAAATCTTTTTTGTCACCTTATATTCTGCTATCTTTTTCTATAATAAATTAATACATTTTTTGAATATTGGGGCGAGTTAATCCTGATTTTTTTTTTGCGAGTTTATTTTTTAAAAAGATACTTAACAAAATTTTACAATTTTTCAAAATTTTCAAAAAAATAGAAAGTAAATAGTTCTCCCGAAAATCCACTAGGGTAGTTCTGATTAACGAAAATTTTAAAATTTTTTGTCAAATAAAAAGGTTAGCACACTACTGTGAAAAATTTGTGTCAAATACAAACTTTAACAACCACCAAGCCAGGTTTTTATATTTTCCCAAAAAGGGCCAAAAATATGCAAGAAAAAAACCGAAATTTATAAAAAATTTTTCAATAAAAACCCATATTTTTGGCCTATTTTGGCGTATTTGTTTTGTTCAAGGGGACGGGAAATTTTCCCAAAAATGTTTAAACCGGGATTTTTACGGGTTTTTTTTTTTTCGTAATTCGTTTGTGATTCCGCAAACAAATTTTAGGCCTTTCCCGCGCAATATTCTGCAAAGCAAGAATTAAAATATTAATAATGCTTTTTAAAAAGGGTAAGAAATCCAATGTAAATCGTTATATACAATTTTAAAATGACTGGTTTTTTTTTAAAAAAAAAGCCCTTTCTCCTCAATAAAAATTTAAAAAAGTTATTTCCCCCCCCCCCCCCCCCCCCCCCCCCCCCCAAAAGTAAGGAAAATCCCAAAAGTGCTAGTTTAAAGATTTAAACCGGCAGGATTTAAACTGAAAATTTAAGTTTAAAATTTTTAATTTTTTCTGCCCCTAAAATTTTTGATATAATATAGGGGGTTTGAACCCTTTTTCTTCTTTTTGGTTCATCAAGTTTCGGGTCCCCGTAGTGATGTTTTTCCTCCCCGGAGAAACGTGCATATTGTTTATCACCTGGGTTCTGCAAGATTTTTTGAAAACCCTTCTCCTTTTTCTTTACCCTTTTTTGTCAGGTTTTTGTTTTTCTTCTATGTACGGGGGGCCGGGTTTTCCTCTTTCCAAAAAGTCGTACGTGTCAACTTCGACAGAAAAGAAAAACGTTTTTTGTTTTTTTTGTAATTGTATTAATTTTAAAAGTTGTATATATGTAAGTTCATGAAACAACATTTATACATATTTTACGTTAATATTTAACAAGCAGCAATGAGTTGGCAAAAAATTTGATAAAAATAATGCTTATTTATAATACTTGATGGAAATCAGAACGTAATTTATAGAAAAGAATTACACGTATATAAAAATGTAGTATAACTACTTTTGAATAGTTACAACATGCCATATGCAACCATGTTCTAATGTTGAAAATTATTAGATATGATTTTTTTAAAAAAAAAGTTTTTCCCATTTTTTTTTATTTTGAGTTATACAATTTTAATGTAAAAAAATTTTTTATATGGGGTATTTACCCCTTTATATAACGGGCATTTGCTGCGAAAATATTAAAGTTATTTTTAAAAGTATGGAGTCGAAAAATTTTTTTCGTAAACTTTTTTGCATATGAAAAAAAAAAAATGAACTAAAGCATAACGTTTATGTTAAATAGGAAAATTTTTAAATTGAAAAAAAAACTAAGCTTAAAAAATTAAAACCAGAAAATAAAATTTTACACGGGATTTTAAATGACAAAGCAAAAAGATTAAAATTTCCGACCCAAAAAAAGGGCACGGGCAAAGCAATTAACCCACTTTAAATATTAATTCAGGGGGGAATTTTGACTTTTGAAAATGTGGTTTATAGAATAAAAGCTTTTTTTATGGGTTTCCCCAACCTTCCCTGAAAACAGTTAATTCTCGGGTGAAGCAAATTTGACCCCCTTATTGTATAGGTACAATTTTGTTGTTCATAAAAATTATTTTAAGAAAGGTTACCCAATACATTAAATTTTTTTGTGTTTTTTAACCGGTGTTCTTTTCGGGGTTTTTAAAAAAGTTTATCAAAAGGGAAATTTTAAGGCCTAACCCCCTGAGATACAATATTTTTTTTGGAAGTTTAAAATTTTTAATGTAAAACATTTGTTATATGTTGTATTTTTAAACCCAAATTTATATAAACGGGAAATTTTAAAGCTGCGACATTTTTACGTATTTAAATTTATGGAGTCGAAACATTTTTACGTAAACTTATTTGCAAAAATGTAAAAAAGAAAATGAACTAAAGCAAAAAACTTTTTATTTTTAAAATTGGGTTAAATTTTTAAATTTTGATAAAAACTAATTTTAAAAAAAATTCTATTTTTAAAATATGTGTAATTTACCGGCGTCTTAAATTGCGGGTTTTTAAAGATTATCATAAGAATGTTTAAAAGAAAATTTGAAGGCTAGCCGGAGATATCACTGTCAAAGTTTAAGGATGATTTGCTGTTACGTAATTCATTTGAGGGATTGTCACTATGGTTTCTTGATCAACATATTAACATCAAATATGCAATATAATTCAAGTAAGATTATCTAGATGTTTATCAGATGAGAAAACTTGCATATATTTCTAAAAAGTAAATATACAGTGAAATGATGTTCACATTAATTGGCTTTGCTGACAATCTTCATTTAAGTTTAAAACGACCCAGCGCCGATAAAATGTTGACAATCTCCATTTAAGTTGAAAACAACCGCGCTGAACCTAGATATTTTACAACAGTAAAATGATGACAAGATTAAATGTAAGTTGAAAGCGATCAAGTGTTGAACTACTTACGTATTTTTCATGAGGTCTGCCGGTAAAATAACTGATCACAATAGCTGTCACACCAGTCAACAGTGTGATGAATAACGAGAAATACATGTAATGAAAGTTCTTCAAGATGGCGGGACGATTGTCATCTTTACCACAGCCTCCACTACTGTAGTAGACAAATGCCAAGATCATCCGTATAACACCAGTCAGAAAAGCCAACATTAACGCCCAGAATGCTCCCTGTAGAATTTAGAACATACTATACTTTACAGTCGTTTTCATAGGTTGATCCCCGTAAACTCAAGGTCAATTAATAAAAGGCAAACTAGTGTATTTAAAATGACATTTAGACACATTGTTCCAGTTGTCCCAGAATGTTTGAAAATTTCACAAGCTTTAAAGGTCAAGTGTACCTCAGCAATGCTATCATTTCAATTTTACAAAACTTTTCTCTCTTGGTATTAGATACAGTTTTCAAAAAGATACTCATTTGGCACATAGATGAACTATGTTTTACTTCTTTTGCTCTGTTGACATTGGGGTAAAATCATAGTGTATAAGCATTTTGGATGGAAGTTAAAATGCTACTTTTTTACATTTTGCTACGCTTCATGACACATAACTGCACATTCAGCGCAACTTTCTTCTTAAATCCATTATTTAAACATAACTAAACATATGTTTGACATTTCTAAAGAATTGAAAAATGAACGTGCCTTTAATATAAACAAATTTGATTAAGATTAACATTTTCATAATGGTCAAATCATGAGTGAAGTATAGTGATGCTTATAAGTAATACAGTCAATTAAATAAGCATATTACCTGTTCATTAACCATCGGAACTAGTACTGCCAGCAGAAATATGGCTGCAAAAGGTGGGGCCAAATAATTTGTTATTTCTTGTATATAAATGAAAACTTGACCCCCTTGTGTCTCCTTTAGCACTGGTACCCACGCTATTGACACGCCCACCATAATGAGTATGAAAAGTCTGAAATGAAAATAAAATGCTTTCTATAAAACCTAATCTGTATCATTCTCATAAAACAAAAAAATTCATATGCCCTCATTGGCAAATGAGTTTTTCATATAACAAATATCAATCCCAATAAGTATAATATACATACACCGGGCACGAAAATAAAATCACACGTGACGTTAGAGACGTCACACAGTACTACACATACGTATTTCAAAATAGAGAAAATGGGAATCCCTAAAGAAAGTCCAAAACGGCAAAATTGAAAATGTTGCTGGTTCGGTTTGCCTGATCCTGTTCATGGACGGTACTGTCAAGTGCAAATTTCCGTCCACGCCCCCTTGCCCCGGCTTAAGCAGAATTAAACATTAAAACATGAAAATGGTGAATCTTTTTAGAAAAAATCGCAGATTTGTTCAACACATTTCTTTCCTCAAAATACTCTCCCGACAAAGGTAGCTCCATATAATGATAGAATTATGAGAATATTTAAATCTTACCTGCCTACGAGCATTTGTTCTCTTTGAGAACAGTTCTTTCTTATTTTAGTATAAATATCAACAGTGAACAGGGTACTGGCGCTGTTAAAGATCGAGTCAAGGTCGCTCATAAGAGCCGCTATCATCACCGCCATCATAAGACCTCGTAAACCTGAAAATAACGATCACGTAAATCTGAATATAACGATCACGTAAATCTGAATATAAGACCACGTAAACCTGAACATAACACCAAGTAAACCTGAATATATGATCACGTAAATCTAAATATATGATCACGTAAAATCTGAACATAAGACCACGTAAAATCTGAACATAAGACAACCTAAATATGAACATAACATCATGTAAACCTGACATAAGACCAAGTAAACCTGAATATAAGATTACATAAACATTCAAATACAATGTATGATCACGTAAATCTTAACATAAGACCACCTAAACTTAAATATACATGTTCGTTTACAACAAAACTTGTTTATCGTTATTTTTTACATTCAGCACATATCGGAAATAAAATTGAGATATATGTGGCAAAGGTCTTAAGGAAAGTTAATTTGCTACCTTTATGTCAAAAATTGTTACCATGAAGCTAAAAGATGTGTCAAAGAATAACAATAATAGTAATATATACAATTTTTAAGTTTATTTTAAACGGAAAATATAACTATTTTGCAAATTAAACGGATATATTTTATAGTAAAGATGTATTAAAACGATTTGGTATTTTACAAATAATCTATGACTTTTGTCATTTAAAATTGCACATAAGTTTCAGTAGTTTCAGTAGTTCAGTAGTATTTTTTCTTTGTTATCAAAAATTGCCATTTGTACACACCGAAACATATAATTTTGACGAAAAGAATTTTGGCAAAATATATTGGCATTTAAGATAACGCAGGAAAGAACCGATATATGTACAAAAAGCAAATTCTAAAAGTATGAACGACATCTTGTTTTTGTAACCCACCTTCTGGCATGATACCGAGGACAAGCCTCGGATAAGCTATACTGCTACAGCCAGCCTCGCTTTGACATACATAGTTACATATTTGTGGGTCAACACATGCAACTTCGTCTGTAATAACAAAAGAAAAAAATGAACTATGAACTAACAACAAGTTGCAGCTAAGTCGGGTTTTTCTTCATATATTTCTTAGGTTAACCTTTCAAAATTTTCGAAAGGATAAGCAGTGATCCATTTCACACAACAACGATTGAACTAAAACCTTTAAATTTTACTTCTGAGTTTCTCTTGAAATTTATTGAAGAAAGTCAATGAAAGTACTTATGAATAGGAATATCATTAAGTCTATGTCATGTAAATATTTCACGCTACTCATTTGAATAAACTCCTAATCAACACTACGCATTAAATTCAGCTCCTAATTAACGCAATGCATTAAAATCAGCTCCCAATATACGCTATGCATTAAAATCAGCTCCCAATAAACGCTACGCATTAAAATCAGCTCATAATTAACGCTACATGCAAGAAATAACCTAGTAGATATGAATTTTAGTCAGTATCAGTGAAATATCACGTATAAAGTATGTAAAAGGCACAGTATAAAATGGTGACCGTGTAAAGCCGAAGGCCTTTTTGTGCACATGGGGTGACTATTCAGATAATGAGTCTTAATGATCTTGCGTCCTTGAGTCTTGCTAACATATTCTGCCGCAGGATTATGCTTATCCATATTTCAGAGAGGGAAAGTTACAACAAACTTACTAAAAAGCAACATATATGATTTGCATGTGTTGTATGATTTAATATTGTTCAAGCTCTAACTTGCATCCTGCCCAACCCCAATCTGCATGGCCCCCGATGGTATTTAACGTTTAATAAAGGTAACATTTTATTACCAGCGTAGAGAACTCTGCTGATCATCCCCGGCATCACCATCATAAATAATGGTAAAACTTTTATAAAACCGGCCATCAGTGTTGCTCCTTGAGCATGAGACAAACTCTTGGCCGCTAGCAGGCGCTGTACAATCACCTGACAAGAAAATACATAAATATTAATGAAGTAAAAGTAGAGATCAGCCGCTTTACAGAAATGTATTGATTGTTTTAACAAAGTTATATGTCCGTTACCCCTCCCTATATAGCAGGATGAAGAAGGTCCTTGCCAGGAGATGGGATTGAATTTATTTCAAACCTTGGACAATTGTAATGTGTTGTAAAGACAACCTTGTTTTACCAGTTCCCCTGTACCCCTTCAAAGAAAATGTAAGAGAAAGTTCTTTTTGCTCATAATCTTGATGTTTGAATCCTACATTACAAATGGATTTTCCAAGCACCATTTCCGGACAGTGCTTTTTCTAAATTGTAAAAAGAAACGGAACATAATTATGCTGATTTGTCAAACGAACTAGAAATCTGCACAATTTATTTTATTTTACAGATTATTTGTAATGAATGTCAAATTTGCGGAATAAACTTAATTGAATGATAGGTGTAATTATAGACTTATACTAATACTAGTATTACGAGATTGTCCAAGAAATTAAGCTTACGTTAGAATACCTGATCGGCACACCAGTACCAAATAGACCCCGGCGTCTGTCCTAGCAGAAACCCTAACCACGGCATATAGTCGTCGTCTGCTTCACGTAACATCCGGAACGAGTTCGGGTCTGTCTCGTGACACGTGGTGTTTGGCATTCTATACGTCATCTTGGTAGTTGCGTTCGGGTATTTTCGGGCAAGGCCGTCATAACCACCGATCTTTGAGAAACCTTAAATTTACGACATTTACAAATGATTTTGTTTAATGAGTTCTTATTTTGTAACACTTTCTTTAAAACAATATTTTTTTGTCGGATCTATTTAATTTAAATACTTAGTAACGTTACACATTGATTTGATGGATAATCATTTTAGTGTTTTTGTCATTCACGAACTTGTGTACATAAAAAGAAATTTAGATATTTTTTCTAATTGATTGACATTGATCAGTATAATAAAATTGTTTATACGAATTTACGATTTCCAGCATGGGTAATTAAAATTGACAAAACATAAAAACAAAGTTTACTGTAACTATACAATGTACAAATATTTCAAGTCACCCCGCTCCCAAAACAACAGCAACAAAAACACAACAACAACTAAAAACAAAACAACAAACAAATAAAAAAATAAAAAATCAAAAAATCAAACACCCCAAAAATACACATGTATGCACACAATGCATGATATAAACAATGATATACAATAGATACGTACTCATTGCCATCAAAGTAAGTCCGCCACCAACCATCAGTATGGCCTGCATGGTGTCTGTATATATAACAGCGGTCAAACCACCTGTAACACGTTAATTATGAAAAATAGAAATGTGATAAATTATACAATATGTCTGATTAAAATTTATATAAAATAATAGAATAATTCTTTTTATGAATAAATTTATCTTTTCTTCAAACATTAGAGTACTGCGAGATGAAAAAGTTAGCATGCGCATGTCAAATATAAAAATTCATGCCACAAGCCGATAGATCACATTTGCTAATTGGTCTGTAGTTTACTTTCGTTTACTGCTGGCTAGTTTATTGGGCGCATAATAAACATCTATAGCAAAGCTACGGTGATAACGTAGCACACGGATTGCTTGTGCGGAAAATAACGAGAAAGGGATAGCGAAAAGCCTACACATTTACCGGAAGTCTTGACGAAAACAAACAGCAAAAGGTCGAAAAAAAAATTAACAGGAACATACCTGTCATGGTCATTATTCCGGTAACAGTGACTAGGATAAATATACATAAATATAAATCCCATTTTAGTGACTGCTGTATAAACAAAGCCCCCGTGAAAAGATCGCCCTGAAATATGAAAAATGTCAGGTATAATTATATTACTATAATTCTTTTACTGTGTAGGTATGAATGAATTCAAATTACATTGAACAGCAGTGACAATCATACAAAAGTGACAATTCCAGCAAAAGAAGTCTTAATTAAATTGGTAAAGAGTTTATAGTGCAGTTAATAATCGCTACATCAACTTCCACCCATGTTGCCCCTTTGCCGTGCTGCTCCCACTCCCCTTTACCAGTTTCCCTGCCCACGGGAATATTACTTGATATATTACCATATAAAGTAAAAGTATGGCGAGATATAGCTGGTTTTATTTGCTCAAAACGTCTGATTTAACAAAAACTGCAAGTTAATCAGAGTGATGACAATTTAAACATTATCTCACCGACTTCATTCAGCTCAATCAAGTAACTTCCTTCTCAAGTTTTATGAATAAACGCTTGTAAAAAAACCCCAATTTAATGCGTTTGATGTTTATTAAAGTAATTCACTATGTTTACCAATGACGGTGAACAACTAGTCCCTGTTTGACACAAAATAGACAAGACATAGTTGATGTCTTACGCCTCGATTTATAAAGGTTTCACAGCTGTGTACTATTCTTACAGAATTCGGTAATGCACTCGACAATGTATAATAATAACCTCAAATTATATAGCTTTAAAGCGGAAAAGAAGTGGCTAATTGTACTTATACTTGAATACTTACAGAACATTTTGTGAAAATATACAAAATTAGAGATAGTAATGCAAAGTAAACCCGCAGTCTTTCACCACCAAACCGCTTTGTTAGGTATTCAGGCATCGTGTATGTCTGAAATTTAGATTATAATTAACTTTTATTTTGTCTAATAACGAATTCGACAATAATAAAACTTTTGCATAAATAATTTCAGAGTAAAATGAAAACACAATTGGCATGAGATGAATATCAAATAATTATATACTAGCATCTTTTGAATATGATAAGGGACTTGCATACTCATGTAAAAAATGACAAGTATAAATTCACTGTGCTCATGAATGCGTTTTAGGCTTAACAATGGTTTGTGTAAATAATGATCAGAAATCTTTGTTTTTGGGTGTAAATCATGACCGTTTAAACAAGTTTATGTACATTAGACCAACAAAATGATTTTTTTTAGTCCTTGATGAGATGAAATATCTACATACATATCTCTCAATTTGTTGATCAACAATGTAAATGGAGATGCTATGTTTACATTACATGATTGTTTATGTAAATCTAGCTTGCCATGAATATTAAATGAGAGACAGGAATGCTCACTGTCTTAAGTGACACATACATACATACAAAAAACTAAAATAGTCGAGATAAAATTCATATTTTCATGCTCATGATTTTATCTAGGTTTAATGATGATGGAACGCTGATGTCAAAGGCGATGGCATACTTGAGTGGAGAAAGTTCAAACCATTAAATATTCAAACATTTAATGTAAACCTATGTAAATATATACAAACATAATGTTCTACTTGTTCTCTAATATTATTCAAAGCTAAAATAAGTTGAAAAAATGTCAAGAATATAATATCATCATTTTTTTTTTCAGATTGATAACTTCTCGACAAAGCTTATCATCGAATTCAAGTTTTCGTCGGCACCAAAACAAAACAACAAATTTAAAAGAAAATTACCCCACATGCGATGTACACGGGGATAAATATCCAGCCGAGTAACTGTAAAAGTAGGATTGCCTGAAAATAAATAAAATAACATGTCATTACATTACAATTATTATCATATTTGCTAATCATTTGAATTCTGGCACCATTATAACATGGCGCAAATTAGACGCATTACCTTCTTTCAATAAAATATACTGTTAACAAAATTCTGCTTAAGCTAAATACAGGTCGAACACGAGATACCTTCGTTTGAAAGGTAAAGTAAACTATTGTATTGGAATTATAAACTAATATAAATCAGAATTAGGTGTTATTATCTCAAAGGTGTTAATTTGCAAGACTTCATGGTTGTTAATTGATCAGGTATGTCATCAGCAAACATATTCACTTTACTGCTGGTCGCTCCCTATTCTGGTGGTTTGGTATTTCAGGGCTTCAAATTGTGTTTATTAATTCTATACATAAATTCTGTATTTCCTCTCAAACATTGTACTGATTACTTACATTAAATTCCCATGCTCCAACACCAATACCCTGTGCAGCACCCGAGCCGGAAAGACCTATAAAATGTTCAGTTCCGATGTTACTGACAAACAGTGAAGCACCAATCTGAAATAAGCCAAAACTAATATAATAAATAAATCAGAGGTTCATTATCCTGTAAATATGGTTTACTTGTGATATCTATCACAATATGTGTCCTAAGCATGGTTTACTTGTGATATCTATCACATTATGTGTCCTAAGCGTGGTTTACTTGTGATATATATCATAATATGTGTCCTAAGCATGGTTTACTTGTGATATCTATCACAATATGTGTCCTAAGCGTGGTTTACTTGTGATATCTATCACAATATGTGTCCTAAGCGTGGTTTACTTGTGATATATATCATAATATGTGTCCTAAGCATGGTTTACTTGTGATATATATCATAATATGTGTCCTAAGCATGGTTTACTTGTGATATATATCATAATATGTGTCCTAAGCATGGTTTACTTGTGATATATATCATAATATGTGTCCTAAACATGGTTTACTTGTGATATATATCATAATATGTGTCCTAAACATGGTTTACTTGTAATATGTATCATAATATATGCCTATGCATGGTTTACTTGTGATTAATATCATATTTGTTCAAACCATGGTCTACTTGTAATATTTATCATATGTGTGTCAAAAGCATGGTTAAATTGTTATATGTAACATAATATGTGACATATACATGGTTAACTTGTGATATACATATCATTATATATGTCATATGCATGCTTTACGTGTGATATATATCATAATATGTGTCCAACAAAAGACGTCTACAACATTAGAAATTAAACATTTAACATAAAGAAATAGTAATATAAGAAACAATATCATGGTTAATTGTTTCAGGTTTGACGTATAAACGTTATCCTGACTGCAAGAACTCAACTTCAGATGTTAGTTCTAATGAATATCAAGCTTATATAGCATTTCATATCTATTTTTGTTTCAGTCATACACAGTCATATTTTAACTATTAAACAACATTTTTTTTAATAAATGCAAAAAATCTTTAAAAGTTACGATTAATATGCATTATCAAGAATTGTTTCATTATATAATGTACTATTGTTTGAATGACCGATGGTCAGTTATTACCAGAACACCATTTAAAATATATCGACATCATGAAAATACTTACAGGTAAAAAGAACATAGATCTTCCTGCGAGAAAGAACCCACCAACTGTGCTTCTATTAGACCTGCACATTGCCTGAAATAAAAAAAAAATGTTATAATAATATGATACTTCACATTGTCTTAAAATGACATTTTCTTTGTTTTTGTTTTGTTTGTTTAATGGCTTTTGTTGACTGACTGTCGTAGATCTATATACCAAGGTTGTGCTATAGAAAATAAAAGGGGAGGTAATAACTTATAATGAGAAGGTTCATTTGTTATAAAAAGAATGAATAAAAAGGTTTCTTCGTGGAAAGGCTTTCTATGTTGTTTTACTATTCTCAAATGGACTACTGGTAAACGGAACTAAAAGAACAAATAATGTAACATGCGGAAAGCTGTGTGGGAATGCGTGTCGTCTGCAATATCAGTCATTATTATAATTACAATATTAAACTTAAACATGGAAAACGCCCATTATCACAATATTCAACCTTGAAATGAAAAGCAACGAAAACGCGCCCCAACCCGTATCCCCTACTTTCTAATTATCTCAACGTTTATAATGGTCGCTTTATTTACTTCACCCGAAGCTCAACTTTATCTCCTTTCACTTATGTAAATTAAAATATCATTTCTTTATTCAAATCACGTTCAACATAAACCTTGTAATATTTATATTTATGTAAGTATGACAAACTACTGTCTCCATGCAGTTTTTGCACTTTATATGCAGACATGTTTTTTTCTCTTTCCCCTTGTTATGCACTTTAATTTGTTTCAATTAATGTCATTTAATAAGGAAATACTACAAACAAAATTAAACAGACGGCAATTCTAAATCGGGAAGGCAAAAATTTGATCGGAAAACCCCTAAAACTAGATTACTTATTAAAAATGACACTATATAGATAGATAGTACTTTTTTGTATAACACAAAAAGAACCACAACTTTGCATTAACCACACTAAACCACGCATTATTTTTCTTTTAACATTCAAACTGTTTCTTTCTTTTATAAGAAAGCTTTACCATGAAACATCTAAAATTGTTACAATTTGTATTTTTTACAACTTACCACAACTCCTATGGCTATGATAATAACAAAGTATCCGGCCACCACGCCCAGATCTGCCCCTGTCAGGGAAACATTATCTGTGTGAGGGTATTCCGCCTTAAACAAGGCAAGCCTTTCTTCTGATGTAGCCATTGACTCTGTGTAAAATATTCCAGATTTCAGTCTCCTTAAAAAACAAAACAAATGAAACTAGCTTACTCAATTTGTCTTGAATTATATTGAAATAAATTATATTCATATGACATGAACGCCTATTATTCTACTTATTCTACGCTCCGTTTTGAATAACTAACTTATTTTGACACAGGTTTTAAACAACATCACCCAAGTGCTGGTTTACAAATAATGCCGCTTTTTATGTTTTCTGAAGATGCTGCAATAATGTTACATCAAATGAACGGTGGTTAAAATACACGCACTCTACATTTCGATTAGGTTAATAACACGACTTTATTATTTACTTTTACATGACATATTGATGAAATAAAAAGTTATTTTTCCATAACTTTTCCGTAATTTTGCAGTGAAAAAAATATGTTCCGTATTTTCACTGGTGTCTTGCCGGACTTCATCTTCCAAATTCAGCCAATATATAAAATTCAAGTTGTGTAATGTCAAAAAAGAGAAAAAATTATACATGTGTATAAAAAACAGACAATTCAAGTTTTTTTTTCTAAATGCAAATTTTCTTGTCATCTTGTGGTATGAAATATTTATATAATATTTATTTATTTTTTATTTGAGATTGAGATTTGTCGAATAAGAATTTACTGCTAATTTCAAACACTGCAAAATCTAAAATGCACACTCGATGAAAGAGAAAGAAAATTATTAGATTTAAAATAAAATAAAAAATAAAACTAACCTTGAAAATATAAAAGTACTCTTATCAGTGCATAAATTATATACTTCACTGATAAACGTAAAAAAATAGATCAAGGTACACGTATTTATTTCATTAAAGCAGACGCGTTTTTAGTCATTCATATTTATTGAAGCATGAACTGTCGAGGTAACTAAGTTAAAATATCCACCACGCGTGTATCAATAATGCTATAAATTAGTAAACATTTTTTAAGGCTCATAATTGAAATAAATAAAACCGGCTTTCATAACAATTGAACCCTGACCCGGCTGAAACCGGAAGTGATAAACTTTTGCAACCAGTATAGGAGGCAGCGGTCTAGTTTAACCAGGCTTGATACTGTTCGTAGGTTATGATATATATACACGTATATTTTGGTATTGAGATCCCTTAAACCTTGAATGAACTGTTAAAAAATTCAAACTGGGTAACTTTAAAACGTTATGGGTTAATTAAGTTTGAAACTTTGACACACATTTTTTCATAAAATGTTTTGAATAGAGCCCGATCCCAAAGACAGACGCTCATTGTTGTATAAGGAAACTTTGCAAATCGCTGACGGGAGACAGGCAGGCCTTCACCGTTTAAATAATGCATGCAGGTCCATCATGTACGCCTCACTCAAACATCATGAAAGTGTGACAGTGTTATTGTGATTGTAAACAAACAAAACAAATTATTTGTTTCAATGTATAATAATTATGTATGTTTGTGACAGTAAGTACGTTACAAGAAAATAATATAATATATGTATTTTATGATGTTTATTAACCGTAACTTCACTTTAAACATAAACTAAACAAATTGTATTTAATCATACATACGTTTATTCTCCGAAATCCTTAATATGTATTAATGTTGACAGCCAAATATCTGTCAATAAAAATTTACATCCCGTTCAGAAAAAGGTACAAACGCCAAACACTGCAATTTTGTTATACAGGTAATTCTTTAAAGCAATCAACGTACAGCTAGGCTAGCTGTAGTGTTTAATATAGTTCACGGTTTACATACATTTACATATCATTAATCTATTAAGTTGGTTTACCACGTGAAAAAATAATTATTTGTAAACATTGTCTTGTCCTGTATGTTTAATTTCTCACAACTGTCAATATATTATATGTTATTTTATACCATTTTAAGTTTATAGTTAAACATTAAATTTCGCGAGTGGTTATTTTGTAAACAAACCATGCTCTATTTGACAATGAGATAAATTGTAGGCCAATGTATTTTGGACAATGACCGGTAATGAAAAGACCTGGCGGTATGTAGAAATGTTGTTGAATCTACATCCTACTAATTTGTGAAATGGACTTGAAGTACTTTATATGTGTAATGTCCAATGAACACATCTGTGGATGTTTCTAAATTCATTTTTTATCACTCCACGTTTAATGTTTGATATTCTGCTTTGAGCATGAGCGGCATCATGTACTTTTCTGTACTGTCCACGAACAGGTTAAATTAAAACCTGTCCTCAATATTTTCCTTTTTTCCGTTTTAAGCGTTTGAGGGAGAAATTCTTTTTTTCTATCGCATAATATTAGGGCTATATCGATAAAGGTGCTTGAACAGTGTACAGAGCTCTTATCTGACCTTACATTGGCCTGTAACCAGGGAAGCCATTAGCACTATAATCAATCAAAAATAGTTCTTATTTATCGAACGAGATTTATACACTAGAACCATCGGTCAGTAAACTTTATGACCGCATATTAAACAAGTTCGAGTTTAATGATCACAAATGTTCGACACTGTAACTTGCGAGTACCCATACGATTCGTCTTACCGTGCACTGTATGTATTAATAAAGTTTTATTGTAAATCAGAAGCAAATCAACTGTGATAGTGGTAAGCTTGTTAAATTATATAAAAAAATGATGTTATGTTTAGTAAATGTTATTTATTTGGAACAGAGCAGAAAATTACGTCTTTTTTGAACATCTATATTACAATGTACAAATAAAAACATTACCACAAACATTAGCTAATGTGACACGCATACGTAAAATATAAATTCAAATGTTATAACATTGGACTTAAATCAAATTTATACTTTCTTTCCTTTAAATTGAAAAAAATGTAAGCATTATAAACATTTATACATGAATTAATTTAAGTGCATTTTAAATGGTTTATTGCATATTCTTTCGCCAATTGAATGCGCTTTTATAATAATTTGTAACGCTTTTCGAATGCACGAATATGGAAAGCGGTATGGGACCTTTCCACCTTTACTATATAATTCCATGTAAATTTCTATTGATGGAAATCTGTCGTTAGAAATACGCTATCCACTCCGCCGTAATACTTGATCGGCCGATAGATTCCGCCGTTATAATGTAACTCAAATGAAATTTCTACTACGGAAATCCGCCGTTAAAATACCCGACCCGGCGTTAAAAATTCCTGCCCCGCCGTCAACTATCCATTCCGCCGTTAAAACTTACAAAGCGCTACTTTGACTCTCTTAACTAAATTAAATTGTAATTTCTACTGACTGATTAAAAATTTGAACTACCAATTCAACCGTCTTAATTTTTATGATATTAGAGCTACTGTCGCTACAATAAACGCAGACTTTGTAGATTGAAACAATTGAGTAAATTTGTTTTGGCTTGTCTGTTTACAAGAAATAGAGAGAGCACGGAAGTGCATGTATTGGTGTTCTTTCTCTTTTGTATAATAGGCAAAAATACAAACACTTTCCCTGTCGTCAGAACATGAAACCCAAGAAAAAAGTAATCAGTCTACGAACATCTGTATATGACTTTTCTATCGTTATCTCTTTCCCTGTCGTCACAATAAGTAAACCGCAGAAAAAATATTACCAATCAACGAGCATGCTTTATTTGTATCATAGTTTTGGGGCCTTTCTGTTGAAAATGTGTCAGAGTTAAATCGTATACCTATACATGCACAGTGCGTTAACTAGAGTGCCCGCACTCCAGAGCATACCAATTGGTTGGCTATTTTTTTGTGGGGTTTTCCTACTGTGACGGGAGGGAAAGGGATAGCGATAGAACGCCACCGTCGTACAAATCAGATAGCCTCGCGTGTCAGTGCTCCTACTATTACTTAACCCTTTGTCTGCTGCTGACAACTGATTTTATACGCATGTTACCAGTGCAGATCATGAAAGAGCTGCAAATCCGTGCCTACTCATCATGGTCTTCAGTCAGTACTTATAATGAAGTTTTCTATAAAAATGGTAAATGTTCTACCGAGATTGGAAGAACGTCAAATCCATTTAAGACATTCAAGGTGATAAAGCATACAATCTACTAATCACGCGCAGTTGTTGTTTAAACTATCTTTCTTCTGCGAAATCGTATTTTTTCTTTGAATTTTTACTTATAATATGTTGATGTGTGTCTTATCTTCTGCCCTGAATCGTATGCAACAGGATTAATATTAAGAATAAAGTAATTCACGTGCTTAGAATGATTTAAGAATAAAACAGAAGGTAACATGGAAACGTAAAGTGTTCAAGTACTGTACTCAGATTAAAATCAATTACTTTTAACAATATCAAAAAAAAGAAAAAGATTCGACCCGCTTTTTCAAAGAGAAGTATAGCATAGCCAACGATATGATAACCATTGCATTATCTTTGTGTCTTTTTGTATCGCTTATCTTCCCTGCACAGATGAGTGTACGTATTACAGAAAATCAGATATTCAATATTAATATAATATGTCATTTCTTTGAACGCTGAATACATAATTTATGTACTGTTGTATTTTATGTATTTGAATCAATTTCTATTATAATTGTGTTTAATTTTATTCTTTATGTTTTATTTCCTTCATTAACTTTGACGAACCTATTCCACGAGTAGTATATATGTATGTTATCAGAACTTATGTATCCCTAAATTGTCGCTGTAGCATTCAAACAATACGTTAAAAATGCGTTTTCTTTTTAAATAAAACGAACCATTAATTTACTATATTTTGTTATTTTATTATAATAAGTTCTCAATTAAGCAGCAGTGCTTGGTTTTGTCTGTTTTATGTTATCTTTATTCTAGACGGAAGAGTACAATTCACCTTGAATGTATCTTTACATTTAACGTCCAGTGAAGGTATGAAACTTGGACTTACTTCCATGTAGCTTAAAATATATCTTTGTATCACACATGATCATTTACAGAACACTTTCCTTTTTTTGTCCTATGAAACCTGAATAGTAAATAATCCTCACCATATATCTGTATAAGTAAATTACATATTTCGAAAATCAATTGACATAATTATCCTAAAGTCATTCCTGCTCACAAACATATACATATTCTTTTGTTCTAATCTATAAGCACGTGTCACGCTTCACTTTTTGTTTATATACGTACTGACTATACGTTGAATAAATAAATGTATATGAATGTATATATCATATAAAATTATATTAATGAAAGATGCTAATAAAATTTATTATTGTAAACATCTCTGATTCTGAAAATGATTAAAGCTTATAATGTTACTAAATGCAATATCTCATTTTATGCTATCAGCGAATAACAAACAGCATAGCCAACGGTATGATAACCATTACATTAACTTTGTGTTTGTCTGTATCGGTTATCTCCCCTGTACAGATGAGTGTACATATTACAGAAAATCAGAAATTTAAATTAAATAAAATCTTGTAAATACGTACTAATAAACTTATCATAACCTATACTTTGCAAGCGTTTATTTATTGATATGTTGATGACGTCATTTCATGACGTCAAAATTTTACGAAGACATAGACATGTGAAGTTTTGACGTCATAAATGTCATTAAACGATCAGAAGCGCTCTGACAATCATTGCGGTAAGTCGTTATTTTTATTTCTCGGAAGTTTACCAATCTTTTTTTCCCACTCTATTCATTTTATATGTACACGGCGTATTACCGGCGCCAGTGATGGCAGATCACTGCAGTGGTGGCAGATAGCTGAAATTTACCGCTCGGTAGGGGACAGGTAGGTTATAAATTTGGTTGGTATTATTATATTACACAAATACGGCCCATTTCATTGCTATGAAACTATTGTCCATTGACTGAAGATACTATTAGGTAATTTTGGACTCGTTTTTCCTGTTTTAGACTATTTTGAGCAGGTTAAAAGTGAGCATCGGAAAAATCCGTGAAATGTCTGGGTTTTTTTTGTTCAAATTATCTCAAGTTTTAACTAAATGGCAGGATTTCGTGTTATTAATATAGACGTTCATCCGTTTGAGTTACGCAAGCCAAATATCTACCCCGTGAGTCTTTTCTTAAAAGTTTTACAGACGTTCAATCCGGTCCGGTCGAAGAAGAAAACGCTGCCGTTGTAGGCAGATACTTATTTCAAATGCTGCCGTCGATGGCAGAAATACCATGAAAGTGGCTAACATTCTGACAGAAAATCAAGGTCAATCTTTTATCAATTCCTCTATTATTTGCGTCCTTTTAGTCGGAATTGAGACGTTAAACTATCATTTCTAATATTTTCTCAAGATAGAAAAGTTATTAATGTGGTATGTGCATCGAAAAAGCTTTTTAGCAACACGCAGTTACAATACAAAATGTGAGGATTCAGTACGACTTAATTGCACTATTAATAGAGCAATTGACATGAAGAAATTCATTTTTCTAGATTCATGCATGTGTGCTTGATCTGTTGTGTCTGTCAGTTACATGCAAACAATACCATAATTATGTATCTTAAGTTTAGCAGCGCATAATTCACTCCCTTTTCAAGACATAACGCCATTTGCATTTTACAGCTGTAACTTCAGTAAATGGATATTCATTTGCTAGCATATGACATTATTTTCTCGAGGAAATAATGTTTGTCGCTTTATGACTGTCGGCGCTAATGCTGCAGATTATAAGTAACTAAATTCATATTCCAAGGAACTGATTACTTCAGTACATGCAAGAGCAAAGGTACAGTGCGAAAGACGGTAGAAATAATTTCACGAAAATAACTTGAACCGTCCGGGAATCGAACCCGGATCGGCCGGTTCATAGTCAAACGCTCTACCTATTGAGCTAACCGGGCGGCGTGTTGTAAGCATGTACAATACAGTAGCTAATAAGTGTGTAACATTTTAAGTCAATGGTACCGGTTGCACTTAAGCTTTTGCCAAATTGCTATCCTATTCTCAAAGTGCTAAAACGGAAATACGAGGGGCACAATTTTGTTATATGCCAAGATACTGTACTTTGTTTAAAGAAATGATGTATTACAAAACCAAAAGCCAAACAATACCTTTTTAATGTGCTGAACAGGACAATAGCTCTGGGAACATTAAGGCACACAACTGTCATTTGGACATAAAAATATAGAAAATAGGTGTAAACAGTTGAATAATAAAAGCAAATGACATTGTGTCAACACTGATTTATTGATTTATTATAGATAATATCTTAAAACAATCATTATGCAAACATACAAAATCATATGTTTTATACATAAAAATAATAATAATGACAATAATAAAATACAGTTAATCTTGGATTGATTATGTCCAGGAAAAAAACAATCATTTTTTTTACTCCAGCAAATTAATTTCCAACCCGAGCCAACGACTCAAGAGAAAAATACCTTCGCTCAGCAGACAGTACACTTGTTAACTGTTTTTGTACAATACAATTGTTAACTGTTATGAACAGTATAATCTTTTTTTGTACCATACTTTCCAAGAATCATTTTTGTTACCAGTCCCAACGAAAACTTTTTAATGAATTCAATTATTTGGAAAACAATGTTGTACTTTAAGGTCTGGTAGACAACATGATCCTTTGCAGACAATTACTGTATGTTAAAAAAACAAAAGAAAAGTATTCTTGTTAAGTTATATCAAAGTCTGTCCAATTGTTTATAACCAGATGTTGTTAAAACGAGAGTTTTAGTTTGCATGATCTTTCATTTAGCAGAGCAAAATGACTCTAGCTATTTGCTGTAAACAAATTTCCAATGATATTTCCTATTAAGCTTCATTAAACTGCCAAGTGGTAAAACAAGCTATGTCAGCTGGTTTATTTAGCTAATGCAGCCATCTTATTTTGATTCTAATTATTTTGTGTACGATCCCCAATCATTATTCCTAATGAGTTTAATTAAAACTAGAAGGGTTTTTGTCACAAAAACATATGTCACCCAAAACTATGTATGGTCACTCATGTGAAATTTCATTAAAATCCCACTAGAAGCTTGACATGTGAAAGCCAGACAGGGTGTATCTATTCATAGCTCTGATAGCCATTTAGTGCAGCGAAGCGCAACCTGCCGGTAATGTGCAAAACTACGGATGGTACTGACCACTCCTGTAAAGTTTGGTTGAAATCCCACAAGCAGTTTGACAGGTGGAGGCCGGACAAGGATTTTCTATTTTTAGCTCTGGTGGCCATTTTGTGCAGTGGAGCGGATGTGCCGGTGATGTGCATAACAAAGCATACTAATCACTCCTGTAAAGTTTGGTTGAAATCCCATAAGTAGTCTGACCTGTGAAGGGCGGACAAGCTAAATGCGGACGGACAGACACACGGCGAAGGCAAAAACAATATGTCCGCCAAAAATGTTGGGAGACATAATTAATTAAGTATGACAAACAAATCATATTGTTTTATCAGCTTTTAAGGAAAATTATTACACATTTAAGGAGAACTATTACAGAAAAGTTATATACGGTCTAAATATAACAATCAATTGAAAGTTAAAATATATTTTATATAATGTTAAGCAGACCAAAACAACTAATTTCATATATTCCACTCAAAGATTGTTCTTACTGAGTTCCATTAGGTTCTGTCACCTAGGTTTGAGCGCAGGTTAAGGTGTGAAACTTTAAGTAAGTTTTCTTGTTGCATAGTAAAATCAACTAGCTATGAATAAAGAAGCATATAGATTGATGATTCTTTATAGTTTGTTTATAAGTGTCAATAAGGCTGTTTGAAAATCTTAAAATAGAATGACCATACAGCTCCCATGACACGTGAACATGCTTTTCAGTCTTTTCTTCAAAACCGTGTACTTTGTCTTAACAACTTCATTGCATATCATAATTATATGTTTCAGGATGAAAAACATTATAAAAGTAACTACAAATTTGAAATGGTCATTATAGCAGCAATTCTCCTTATCATTTACATGAACATTCATGGTAAAATCTGTACAGTAAATAATATAGACAAATGCAAATCCTAAAGTAAATCATGTACACAAATATAGAAAGCTTATTCATGTACATGTAGTAAAACTTATAGTAAACACACATACAAATATTATAGATAGTCACGTAAAACAAAATTACAAATCTGAGAGTAAATCATGTACATAAATATAAAAGTTTTATAGTAAAAAGTGTTTATTTGCACAACAACTCAGTGTATGTCCAGTCTTACTGGTAGAGGAAGACATCAGGTGACATTCTGTTAATTGTATCAGGCACAAATAGGCACCTGAGTAAGCTAGCTTGATAGCTTCCTCATATAATGTAGAAAAAACTTATCTAATAGTAAGCTATGTACACAAATACGAATCTTATAGAAAATCGAGCACACAAAAAACAATCTTCTATAAATCATGTACACAATACAAATCTTACACAATGTAGAAGATAATATGTAGTTACACAAATACAAAACTTAAAGAAAATCAAGCAAACAAATACACATCTTCTATAAATCATGCACACAATACAAATCTTATACAATGTAGTAGATAATATGTAGTTACACAAATACAAAACTTAAAGAAAATCAAGCAAACAAATACACATCTTCTATAAATCATGCACACAATACAAATCTTATACAATGTAGTAGATAATATGTAGTTACACAAATACAAAACTTAAAGAAAATCAAGCAAACAAATACACATCTTCTATAAATCATGCACACAATACAAATCTTATACAATGCGATAAATAATATGTACACAAATACAAATCTTGTTGAAAATTATGTACACAAATACAAATCTTACATTTATCTATGTACACAAATACAAATCTTAAAGAAAATCAAGCAAACAAATACACATCTTCTATAAATTATGCACACAATACAAATCTTATACAATGCGATAAATAATATGTACACAAATACAAATCTTGTTGAAAATTATGTACACAAATACAAATCTTACATTTATCTATGTACACTAATACAAATATTGCATTAAACTATGCCTACAAATATAAATCTTGTAATAAATCATCTACCAAAATGCAAATATTATACAATATTAGAGCTAAAACATATCAGTGACATGACATGGCGACAGAACGTTTCTAAGGAATTAGTTTTCAAAAATTCATTTTAGTTATAATATGATTTATGCATAAGACAAGATCCATGCTAATAAATTCGTTTAAGGAAACCTTAAGATTTTTTCGTGAGGTTTTTGGTTTAAATCAACTTTTTTGTTGAAGAGGTGATGTTGTTTAAAGAGCAGCAACAAATAAAAGTGTCAACAACAAATAAAGGTGCCAACAACAAATAAAAGTGTCAATAAAAGTGCCAACAATAAAACTCTCCTCTGTTGAGATATGTGGTTTCAAGTGTCATAGTGGAATGTTTTAGCGCTTGTCTATGTACACGTTTTCATTTATTTTAGGAATTTTTTACAAGACAAAGGCAAAATGCAACCACGTGAGCATTATTTTTGTATAGGTCTAGTAGACAATACAATTGGGTCTTGCAAGTCATTTAAATGAACTATAAATGTGTCGTAACGCCACAAATGCCCCCACATGCAGCCAGATTTTCAAATGTTATAATAATACTTATTTTCAAATTTGTTTGCACAACCATATTTTTCATTCTAAGTTCAATGCCCTTTAAGTATTCAATGTCAACACAAACCATTTTATATACAGTTTAAGGCCCTGAAAATATTAAGTGTTAATCTACCTTTTTTACAAATTGAATATTGCATACTTGTAGCAGAAATAATGATTAGATATTGTGATTTTTAAAATCTTTTCCAAGTTCAAGGGATGCTACTGTCAAAAACACCGGACCATGACCAAATCATAACTTGGCTTGTATTTTCTGGTAAAATACCAGCACATGCAATGTCAACCTCAAACATACATTCTACAAAAATAAGAGCATTAACGGTAAATTTCTTTTTTTTCTTAGTTCAAAAATGATAACTCATCGGACCAAATTTAAAAATTAAACTTGACTTGTATTTTCTTATTAATACCCGCACATGTAATTTCAACATTATACATACATTAATACATTTTACATTATACATATATTAAAAAGTATTTTTTCCAACTTTCAAGAGGGATAACTCTGACCAAAATCATCGAACTAAAACCAAATACAAACCTGCTTATTTCACAGTCGAATGTGACCAACTATTTGGGAGATAAGGAACAGAAATTGACGACTTCCTCTTTTTTCCCAAAAAGTTCAAGGATCATAACGCTGTCAAAAACAATCGAAAGATGACCAAATACGAAAATGACCTGCGTATACCTATGACATATCAATATATTAAATTTGGGTTCCATGTTTACATCTGTTTGGTAGATAATAAACAAAAACTGAAAATATTTTATTTTTTCACAGTTAAAGGGGCATATCTCTGCCAAAAATCAACAAAGCATGACCAAATTCAAACTTCACCTGAAATTTCTCTAAACGTAACCGTATGGAAAATTGCATTTGAATTAGTAAAACTGTTGGGAAGATAATGAAGGGAAACTAAAATATCTTATTTTTACAAAGTTCAAGAAAGATAACTCTGTAAAAATCATCAAATCATGACCTATTTCGAACTTGACCTGAATATTTCTGTAATATATCCATACGGCAAATTTGAGTTAAGTGTGAACAACCATTAGGGAGATAATCAAATTGAAATTTCTTTTTTTTTAATTTAACGGGGCATTACTCTGCCAAAAATCATTTAACCATAATAAACAGGGTAACACTATATGCCCGGCAATTTTGTGGCGGAGCATAAAAATCTATTTACAGCAACTCATAAACAAGAGCCACTTCCGGGTAGGGACAACGCTCGACCTTTTTACTGTTTCTTAAGGCAAAAAAAATTAACAGATTTAACTAATCTTGTGTCTAGAAGAAAAAAAGTTTTCCTTTTTATATTTTTTTAAAGGTCTGTCTAGTCATGCTTAGTATGAATCATTTCCATTAATAAATGACAATGTTAAGAAAATATATATACGATAATAATTCAATCATTCAATCATTTGACCTTCAAGGACATATGTAAATTAATCAACTTAATAATCTAAAATCCGTGGATAAATTACAAAGTAACAGATACTTATCGCGATAATGAGTTTGCCTTCAAGGTCAATGTCAGTAAAGATCGAAGGTCAATTTGAGTTTGATATACATGAAGGCCTTATCCTAAAGAATGTTCTGTTATAATATGAAGTCATTCCATTCAAAAGTAACAAAGGTGCAGCCAGTTACAGCAAAAAAGAATTAATTTGACCTTGAAAGTCAATGTCATTCATGTGTGATGGTCAAAGTATGTGTGGTTAACTTAAAGGGCTATCTCAAAAGATCATTATGTTCAAGTTTGAAGTTATAGCCACAAGCTTATAGCAAGAAACAAGCAATATTTTGACATTTGACCTTGGAGGTCAAGGTCATTTATGAACGAAGGTCAAGGTTAGTCTAGTCTACTGAAAGGTCTTGTATTCAGAGTTGTTGTGGCCAAGTATGAATACAATACACTAAGAACTTATAAATTAAAAATTTCTGATCAAGGTACAAGTTTGCGGACGGCAACGCCAACATGACTGTAACAGTACCTCTTTTTTTTCTAAAAAAAATTGAGTTAAAACATATTAGAAAACAATACTTTTGTAACTTTGATTAGAAACACAACTTGACAAGCTGTTGTGTAATACTAGTCACAAATCTATATCAAAAACTTCAACATATGAATGAAAATAAATCTTAATTCACTATAAAATACATTTATATAAGTTATTTGTAATTATAATTTTGTTTTATAACACTGATTTTTTTCCCCAAAAACAACTGATAAGCATTAACTTTGATTTCAAAGATAACACAAAAATATAATTGATCACATTTAAGTGGACATTCATGTACATTTCAAGTGACAGTGGCATAAAATTTTCGTTGTCAATTTGAGCTGAAATGAGCGTATATTTATTAAAATAAAACTCACTCAATAACTCACTACATACACTCGGTTGGGCAAAATGTTTTTTTTAACAATCTAACTTAAAAATAGTTTTTGTACAAATATTGGCTAGCAATTCTATTTTACATAAATGTATATTTACATATTATACATGAATTTAAATAATGCACATACTATACAGTAAAAATTCTATACAAATATATATGTATACATTCATTAAATAAATTTTCCTGAGAGTTAATATAATGCAATATTGCACGAGTAGGCAATTTTCATGCCTTGAATTGTCTGAGTTATATATCCATGTTTTAAACAATACAATGACTGCAACTCTCTGGTAATAATTAACTATTGACAAATCATCTCATGATTGGCTGGAGTCCTAAGTTTGGAAGAGTAATGTTAATATCAACTGTTATATATTTTATAAATACCAGTATCTGCAAACAATTGCTTGACGTCATTACACTACTTGACTTCAGTATTTGTATTCATGCAAAATTTCTCCATACATGTACAGTTCATGAATCCGATGTGACACATTATGTTAGTTTATGACCCATTTTGTAGTCTATGATTTTGTTCATATCATAACTACAGAAAATTCCACATGAATGTCAGTTCTTGTAATTATTGAAGTCTCTTGTGAATCTGTCCATTTCTTGGAAGAAGGAATACACATAATGCTGAAAATACAAAACAATCAAAGTTTTAAAATAACAATCTTACAATAACCAATGTCAGAAGCATTTTGAATTGACATACTTATTATCAGGTCTCTCACATATATTTAGAAAATTGTAAGACATTATAATGCTCTAAAACATGTTTATATTCTGTGAATTTGGTAAAGATTTCGTAGCTTATTTTTGTGCAAATGTTTACTGTAATGTCACATTGAAAGAACAGAGTTTATTTTTTTCAATTCCATGTACATATGTTTATAAAAGAGAGAAAATAAGAATCCTTAAGAAAATCCAACACGGCATAATTGAAAATGTTGCAGGCTCGGTTTGATTGAGCCTGTTCATGGATGGTACTGTTAAGTGCAAACTACCGTCCATGACCCTAGCAGCGGCTTAAGCAGAATGAAACATTTAACATGAACTGGTACAATTTTGAGTTTGTGATATTAAAATTTTCATCATTCAGAGAAAAGTTATAACAGCAGTTTCTAGGGAGAATTTTGACATGTTTTGAAAAGTCAAATTTTATATTAGCCATATTATATGAAAAACAATAGGGCCACGATGGCCTTAATATCGCTCACCTGAAAATAAATATTTTTATTGACAACAAACAGGAAGTACTGTAAACTAGAAATGAAGCAAATATATATTGAATCTAAATCTTGAAGTTATATCACAAAGTTCATATTTATATCTGAAATAGTGCATCATCATCACAATGTAAAAACAACACTGGTTGCCACTACTAAGGGACAACAATCACTGGTTGCTATGAAAAGTCAGTGCTTGAGAGGTCTATCAGATGTATCATGCCAGAAACCATATCTATTATAGTATATTACCCCATGTTGGCCTACTTTGACTCCATACCTATAATTTGATTATTTTTTGTTGAGACATTATACAAATACAATAATTGTCTGATAATAGTAAGTGCGTCAAAAGCTTGCAAGCTGGGGTGTACCATCCTTAAATTAATAATTATAAGTTTTAAGTTGATTTCTGTATAATATCAATGTTATTATAGTTAAAGACATATCTGGTGTCATAAATCATACGGTAATTTAGTATAGAGGTAATCACATATACCAGATAGTATGAGAGTGCTATAAATAGAGGAATATTTTATTTATTCAATTGAATTTGATCTGTTACTTTGCATTCTAAAATAAACATTTTCCAAGTCTATGTAATAGAAAGAGCACCGAAACACGAGGTTATCTGATTTGTACGAGGGGGCGTAGCCCCCGAGTATTAATCAGATTACCGAGTGTTTTGGTGTTCTTTCTCTTTGTATCATAGTCAAACATAAAAACACGTTCCCTGTTGTCACAATATGAAACCCCGGCAAAAATGAACCAATGAATGAACATCTGAATATGATATTTCTGTCGCTTTCCCTTTCTCTGCCGTCACAATATGTAAACCCCAGCAAAAATGAGCCAATCAATGGGCATGCTCTGGAGTGCGGGTAACTAATACCCGCACTCCAGTTAACGCACTGTGCATGTATATGTATAACGATTTAACCCTGACACATTTTCAACAGAAAGGTCTCCAAACTATGATACAATTATTCAAAAGCGAGTTTACAATACATGACCGACTAAATCCAAGATCTAGCTGGTGTCTGAATATTAGATATCAGTTTGCTTTTTTTGCGTCAAAGTAATGGTATTCAAATTTAGAGTCAATATTTAACCTCACTCTGCACTGACGACACCTTAAATGTACTGGCCTAAGATTCAAGGAATAATGTTTGTCCCGGCTCATGACCTAATCTACTGTAGTGACTGTAGAGTTATGGGAGTAATATATAGGCCGAACGTCCACAACCATGTTACTGGTGCTTATTGATTGTCTTACAATGAAAATGTTACAAACATTGCCAAGTTCTATGTTTATGAGGAAAAAAAGGGCATTTTACACTTAAACACCAAAGTTACAATGAACTAGAACTCCGCCAGTCGGATGTGTCGCCTTGTGAACAATATAATTTATGATAAATGGCCCGGATAAAAATAAAGTCTGAAAATTAACAAAGGGCAATAACTAAAAAAAATAAGAAATGCAGAGTACAAGTTCTTGGGCACTGCACTTCTTCTTAATGAGATCTATCATCCTATGAAGTTTCATGTCCATAGCTTTTATACTTTAGGAAGAATGGCCCGGACAAAAATAAAGTATGAAAATTAACAAAGGGCAATAACTCAAAAAATAAGAAATGCAGAGTACCAGTTCTTGGGCACTGCACTTCTTCTTAATGAGATATATCATCCTATGAAGATTCAAGTCCATAGATTTTATACTTTAGGAGAAATGGCCCGGCCAAAAATAAAGTATGAAAATTAACAAAGGGCAATAACTCAAAAAAAATAAAGAAGTGCAGAGTACCGGTTCTTGAGCACTGCACTTCGGGTCATTATAAGTAGCATGCATACCAAGTTTTGAAGTCAATCCAACTTATAATGACTGACTTATGCTCCGGACGACGACAACGACGCCGCCGACAAAAGTAACCCCTATATGTCGCCTTTTTCAAGGCGACGCAAAAAATGAAGAAATAACAGCAATAAAGGACTGAAATGATGTATTTATATAAACAAGAGGGCCATGATGGCCCTGAGGTCGCTCACCTGTATATAGGCCCCCAAACCTCCACCCCCGCCCCAACGTTGCAGGGGCAATTTAACCCAAGGGCTTTTATTTGCACAAACTTGGTAGACACCCATAAGAAGATGTTTCATGCTAAACATCTAAGCTCTAGCTCATTGGGCTTTTTAAAAGAAGATTTTTTTTTTAAGTTTTAACTATACACATATAGTTAAAAACAATGACACCCTGGGGCCGGGCCAGTTTTGACCCCAGGGCTTCTATTTGAAAAAACTTTGTAGACACTTACTAGAAGATGTTTCATGCTTAATATCTAAACTCTAGCTATTTGGGTTTTTTCAAAGAAGATTTTAAGTTTTTGCTATATACACATATAAAGAAAATCAATGACCCCCGGGGCGGGGCCAATTTTGACCCCAGGTCCTTTATTTGAACAAACTTTGTAGATACTCACTAAAAGATGTTTCATGCTTAATATCTTAACTCTAACTATTTTGGTTTTTTCAAAGAAGGTTTTTTAAGTTTTTGCTATACACATATAAGGAAAATCAATGCCCCCCCCCCCTGGGCGGTGCCAATTTTGACCCCAGGGCTTTGATTTGAACAAACTTGGTAGACACCTATGAGAACATGTTTGAATGCTAAATATCTTAGCCATAGCTCTTTGAGTTCTTTAAAAGAAGATTTTTTAGGTTTTTACAATGCGCATATAGGGAAAATCAATGACCCCTCGGAGCGGGGCCAATTTTGACCCCAGGGCCTTTATTTGAACAAACTTGGTAGACACTTATTAGAACATGTTTCATGCTAAATATTTTAGCTCTAACTCTTTTGGTTCTTTAAAAGAAGATTTTTTAAGTTTTTACTACATTTGTATATGCATATAGGGAAAATCAATGACCCCCCGGGGCGAGGCCAATTTTGAAGATGTTTCATGCTTAATATCTAAACTCTAGCTATTTGGGTTTTTTCAAAGAAGATTTTAAGTTTTTGCTATACACATATAAAGAAAATCAATGACCCCCGGGGCGGGGCCAATTTTGACCCCAGGTCCTTTATTTGAACAAACTTTGTAGATACTCACTAAAAGATGTTTCATGCCAAATATCTAAGCTCTAGCTCTTATGTTTTTTTAAATGAAGATATTTAAAGTTTTTTCTTTCGGTTGCCATGGCAACCAGAGATCTGCATGGAATTAAATTATTTGAACAATTTTTAAAGGTGACCACCAAAGGAACATTCCTGTGAAGTTTGGATGAAATTGGCTTAGTGGTTTATGAGGAGATGTCATTTAAAGTAAATGTTTACGGACGGACGGACGCCGGACTTTCGCCGGACGAAAAGCGATCACAAAAGCTCACCCTGTCACTTTGTGACCGGTGAGCTAAAAATATTATATGTGAACCCCAAATTCCTTAATTTTGGTACTTTTTGCTTTGAAAACAAAATTATTTACTTTGACATTAAATTTATATGTTATTTTTTAACATCAAGTGGACCTATAAGTTTATTAAGATAATATTTAAGCTTATATGAATTAATGACAAATATAACCTTTTGTTATTCTGTGCTTTCTAATTAAAGGTACAGAAGGGGACGGATGTTACAGAAATGAAATGATTCTTTTTACAGTTAAACTAAATTTATCCTGTTCTTATGATGCATGATTTATAGAGAAGTAGTAAGCTTTGCAACTGTATAGGAATGTTTCACACAACAAATAAAATACTATTAAACTAGAAATGTGTCCATAGGACACGGATGCCCCCACACGCCACTGTTCTGTCAATCTTATGACTCTAGGTCAAATATTTTTTGGACTATTATGTGCCACAAGTTGAAAACTAAAAATCAACAAAGGGCCATAATTCTGTTAAATTTGGTCGCAGCGAAAATTCCTTCCTTTGCTACCATCTACACATTAAGGTTGTTCATCCCTGAAAGTTTAAGCAAAATCTGCAATCCGGTATAAGAGGAGTTGCGTTCACAAGATTTCGGGACGTACGGACGGACTGACGGACGGACGAACAAGTGCAACGCTATATGCTCCCACTTTGTGGAGGCATAAAAAAGAACAAGAAGAACAAACACACAAAATATAATAGAATATATATAGAAAGAGGTACAAACGGTAGAGATGTTGAAGTACCTTTGTGATTAGAATTGGTCAGTTGTTAAAACATAAATTCTTTAGCCTTAAATAGTTAACAAATCATTTGTATCATAGTTTGGGGACCTTTCTGCTAAAATGTGTCAGAGTTAAATCGTATACATATACATGCACTGTGTGTTAACTGGAGTGCAGGTATTAGTTACCCGCACTCATGAGCATGCCCATTGATTGGCTCATTTTTGCTGGGATTTACTTATTGTGACGGAAGAGA